CTGGACCCTTGTCTCCTATAAATCTGGTCCTTAAATCCTGCTGTCCCATCACACCTAATGATTTACAAATCACCAGACTCTCTGGGCTTTTACACCCTTCCCTTGCTTGGGCTCGTCCATCTGTCTGGAATGTCCTCTCCATCCATCATTTCCATCTGGCTAACTCTTACACAGCTCTCACTCAGTGGTCGCTTCCTCTGGGAAGCCTTTCACAACCCTCAGACTGGGTGAAAGCCTCCTCTGGGCTTTTCCAGACCCTTGTGTTCTCCATCAGAGGAGTCATCATGTTGATTGTACTTGCCATTCATGTGTCCACCAGACTGTGAGCTTCTGAGAGATGGAAGCTAAAGCATTTGTCTCTCTGCTCCCAAAGCTCAGCATAGGGCCCAACACAAGAGATGCTCAACGAACATCTGCCAAACAAACACTTCACTATACTTACTTCTTTTGTGCCCTTGAATATATCATGATACTGTCCACAAGTCTTTGCACCTGCTGTGGTTCCTAAAGCCTAGAACACTCCACCCTCCTCCCCCAATCCCTTCCATCCCCACCCCTCCCCACTCAAGCAACTCCTACTTTCATCTAATCAAAAATATCAAATGCTATCATGTGCCAAGCACAATGTGACAAAGTAAAATGACAGAGTCCCTGTCCTCAGAGTTGAGAGACTAATGGGGAGGCATACACATTAATGTATGCTGAAATCATGTTACGGCTAAGAAGGAAAACTACTGGGAGCTCTGAGGTAATATAAGAGAGAAGATCAAACTTAGTCTTAAGAATCCATTGAGGACTTCCCTATGTAAATGAAGTTTAAGCTGAGGCAAGGTGTCAAGTACACGTGATGATCCAGAGGCTGAAACAAACATGGGACGTTCAAGGAATTTAAGAAACTGTGTGAGAGTATAGAGAGCAAAGAGAGCAGCATGAGACGAGGCCGGTGATGCCATACTGTACAGCACCTTTATGAGTCACATTAAGGATTCTGAGCTTTAACCTAAGAGCACTGAGAAGCCACTGAAGGGTTCTGATCAGAAAGAGTAGATCCCCATTTTGAAAAGATTACTCTGGCTGCTGGGACAATGAAGGGTACAAGAGTGAGGACAAGCTCCGCAGTAATCTGGGGAGAGAGATGATGACAGCTTGGACTAGGGTGGTAGCAATGGAAATGGAAAAAAATAGATTTGCAATATGGTCAGGAGAAGAACAGCCAGGACTTGGTGACTAGTTGAGAGAAGGAAAAGAGTCAAATATTTTAATTGAATAATTGATAATTAGTTGTTTAACGTCTGACTCCCTGTCTGAACCATAAGGACAGGGACCATGTCTTCTTTGGTTCCTTGCTGTTTCTCCAGCAGAGGACCAGGTGTCAGTACACACTCAATTAATGCTTATTGAACAGATGGATGGATAGATGGACAGCTGGCCAAAGAGGCTGTCTTCTGGGCAGGTGGGGAGTAGCTCACCTCTGGGCATCAGGTTGTGAGATGGCATTCACAATGGCCTCCACACTGCTGTCGAAGAGCTCCGAGTCCTGCAGAGCAGTGAAGGCTGCCTGAATGAGTGCCTCACAGTCCTGCAGCGGCACCTCCAGCTGCACCCAGCTGGAGAAACACTTGAGCACCTTCTGACGCACACAGCTGGGTGAGCTGGGCTGCTGTAGCAGCTGCTCCAGCAGAGGGAAGACAGCCCCACATTCCACCGCCAGGCTGGTCCGCACCAGGCCTTTGCGGTACTGGGGTAGGCGGCTGGTCTGGAACTCCTCAGGTAGCACTGTCAGCAGCTCTAGCAGGGCTAGGCAGCGGCCCTGCCCATCCACTGGTGAGTCCTCAGCCTGGAAGAGTCGTACCATATCTGCCACAGCACATGGCCAAGCGTCAGGCATCATGCTGAGAGCCAGCGAGGCTAGTGCCACACAGAGCCGAGTCAGTACAATCTTGGAGCCACTGGCAAAGCGGGTGATCTGGGTAAAGAGCTGTGCCTTTAGGCTTTCATACTGGTCAGTTGGGATGTCGCTCCAGTAGCGAGAGATCTTGATGTGAAGAGCACTGGCCCCAAAGTACTGGATCTCTGGCACCTTGTCAGGCTGCAGTAGCTGCCAGCTGAAGTGCCAGGCCTGTGGAGAGACCTGGGCCTGCATCAGCCACTTCTGAGCCAGGTTCTTGTTTTCAATGTTGGGGTCATAGTAGAGCTGGTGCAGCGCCTGCAGGACAGCACAGGACTGAGCAGGTGCTGGCCACTCTGGATGCTGCCAGAGCCCAGAACAGAGGCGTGACTTGGTCCTGCAAGACTGCTCCCTCTCCCTGACTGGGGAGCTGAGCAGGGAGAGCTCAGGGCTCTTGCAGTGTTTGCTGGGCCTGGGTCCTGCTGATACCTTGAGAGCCTGAACCTTGCCCATGCTCTACCATATCCTCTTCTCCTTATAGCAAAACATTATGGGTTCAGAGGGAATCTCCACAGAAAAGCAAAAAAAAGAGGAGGCTGATCCCCCCAAAGGTGAAGCAATTGAGGCCAAGGCCTAGGTGGAAGGAACAGCTTCACAAGGATGAAGCTAAACCTGAGAAGGGCATGGAACAGCTTGAGGGGACTTGACCTTCCCAGGCACAGCTGCTCCCATCAACTCCAACAGCTCCTTTCAGCTCCCCTAGGATCATCCCTAGGTCACTCCAGATGATGGCATCAAAGCCAGTGTGAAATCAGAGCAGGACTAAGACTTTTGCCAAGTAGCCCTGGGGCAGAGACATGCTGGAGTTGGGGGAGGGGGGCGGTTGAGAACACTCCTCAGAGGGCACATGTGAAGGTCCAATCAACTGATCCAGAGAAGCCTTGGCTATAGCTGCAGCCCTGGCAAACACCTGGCCTAGTGCTTTCCACTAGCACAGTCCCCAGGGCCTCAATTCCAATGGGACTTCATGAAGTAAGAAAACAGTGAGATTTATCTCCTGGTAGCACCTGGAACAGTGCGCCACCATGCCAACACTGCCCTGCTCCAAGAGATGGGAGAGTGTGGCCAGAACCCTGACCCCTAAGCAGGCTCCATCCAAGTAAGCTTAGCTCTATTTGCACCCCTGACAGTCAGTTATGGCCACTGTCCCTTGTTTGGCTCCTCAGGGATGCCAAAGCAGGCAGAAGAGAGGCATCCTCATTGTTTGTTATGGCAAACAGGAGTCAAGAATAACATGTGAGCATCTGCAATCATTCCCTGCTTTCAAGTAAGGGAGCCCCATCTTCCCATTCATCCCAGGGTGCATGCACTGCTGCATTCCAGGTTATAGGGAGCAGATACAGAAAAGAACCAAAAAGGCAGTTCAGAAAGATGGGCTGGGCAGTGGGGGAGCTTGGGAGGGCCATGGCAGGGAGCTGTGTGGGCAGGTGAGTAGGGAGGAGCCCTGTAAGGCTGCCAGCAGGGCCAGGACCCTTGGACTCAGCACAAAACAAAAGGAGACAGCCCCACACCTGCCTGCTCAGGACTGGTCTGGCTTCCATCCAATAAAGGAAGGACCCTTCTCCAAAGAGTAGAAACAACCCAGATTGTTTTAGTTCCAGATTATTTCCTGAGCCCTTGGCTCAATAAAACCAGGTCCAGGATGGTTTGGCATCAGTATAATTCCAGAAGACTGAGCTGCAGGTCTCCTGGGTTCCCAGTTTCCTACTGCACTGCTCATGCAGTTCCCATGGAGCTGGAAAATAGCCAGTCTGGCTGGAAGGCTAAGTCATAAGCTCCCTGAAGGGACCATCCCAAGACCCTGGAGTATGTGTCCACAGGGGACCTGCCTGTAAGGAAAGACAAAAATAGCCCATTAGGGCACTGCAATACTGCCTGCCCAGAAAGACAGCAAACGCCAGGTGCTCTGGGGGCACCATACCAGCAGGCAGCCAGCCCAAGCCTGGGCGCTGGCATTAGTGACAGTCCCCAGAACTTCTGCTCTGTCACTGGAGTGCCCACCCCAGAGCCCTCATACCTTCTCCACGTTCTCCACAGTGAAGTCCAAGGCTGCTGCTGCTCCAGCCCCTGCAGCCCCCGACTGCTCCTCCCGCCGCTCCATCTTTGCTCCCTCCCTGGCAGGGAGGTGGGCCCTGATCTGCCTCCTGCCCCAGCCCCTTGGCTGCTGGCCCCCTGCTAGACCCCGGCTTGGGTGTCCAGGGAGTGGTGGGGTGAGGGGGGGCCCAGGGCGGGCATGGCTGCCGAGGCCTCCCCACCTCGTCTGGGGGTGAGGGGCTTGCCAGAGACCAAAAGGGGTGCTCTTAAGAGACCCACTGAGGGGGACTCCGAGGAGGGGGCCGTCAGTGAGGAGCTCTCAGGCGGGGATCCTAGTGGTAGCTCTGTCCCCTCAATCTGTGTGGAGGGAGTCAGAGGGGAGGGAAGCCTGCGGGGGAAACCGAGCCCCTGGATCTTGAGGGGTCACAGGGTCGATGGCCTGTACCCACAACACCCCCGCCTGGGTGAGCTCTCGGGTGCTATGAAGAGGTCACGGGGCTGGAGGGTCACCGGGGAGAGAGCCCTTCGTGGTTACGGAGGTGTCCAACGAAGCGCGGAGGTGCAGCTTCGCGAGTCTGGGGCGAAGAGTCCGTGGAGTTGAGGGGCTGTGGCAGGTCTTTCCGTTCGGCCTGGCCCGCGCTGTGCTCACCGCCCGGCTTCAGCCCCGCTACCGCCGCTGCCTCCGCCCCAGTGACTGACAGACAAGCCAGCCCGGCCGGGACAGGGCAGGGACCTCGTTAAGGCGCGGGCTGCCCCGAGCGCCTGTCCCCGGCACCGCCAACTCAGGCCCCAACTCCCGCCTGTCCTGGCTCGGCACGGCCCGGCACAGCCCGGCACGGCCCAGCGGAACTGCGCGGTAACTCATTCCGGGTCCTTGGCCCTGTCCTCGCGCCAGCCCGCGCGCCCCCGAGCAGGCGGTGGAGTGGCGCGCCGCCCCAGGCCCCCGCCGAGTCTAGGCCCCGCCGCTGTGCCATCCTGGGAAATGTAGTCCGTGTTGCGCCTAACCGGAAGGCGGCGCCCTGCGGAGGAGGCCCGGAGCACGTGGGTTGGGGACCTGCGGATCCCTGCCTGTCCTCGGCCTACCGCGACCAGCAGGCACTCTGGGTCAGACCGGTGCGGGGCGCTGCGGCCCAGTTCCCTAGTAGGAGGACGTGACTCGAGGAACCCGAGGACGGAGCGGGGAGTCCGGGCCAGAGGGTGGGGACTAGGGAGGTTGCCTGGTCACTCTGGCGCTCCGCTGCGGGGCATCCTCCGGCCCAGCAAAGGTGCAGTCTGGGAAGAAGGCGTCAGCATCACCCAAAGGAGAGGGTACTTGGAACGCCTCAGGAAGAAAAAAAGGAAGGCTCTCAGGACCACCCAATAAGCAACCGGGAAACCACGTACCATGGACAGTGCTCGGGGAATTTCGTAAGGTTTTTGGAAGTAACTTTATGTGTAACTAGAATAAGAATAGCTTACATTTAAGTGCCAGGAACAGGACTTTGCATACTTCAGGTTCAATTTTCTTAACAGCTCTGAAGTGGGTATTTTTATTCATTTTCAGATGAGATGAGGAGGTCAAGCTTGGGGAAAGTTAGGTTTATCTTGTCCCTGGCACACAGAACGGGTGGTAGACCCTGCCATAGATCTGGTCTGCCACAGGCCCCGGCAGCTCCTGCCTCTCACCCCTCCAGTTGTCTTTTTGTTAACTCCTGCCAGCTACTCTAGCAGGGAAGAGGAAAAAAAATTAAAAGTGCAGAGAGCTCTGTAGTTGTGTTCAAATGGAGGAAGCTGGCGTTGGCAGTAGCTGCTGAGGCCTGAGAAGGTCCACGAAGGCTTCCCTGAGAAGAGAAACTTGCGAAAACTGAGCTTGAAGAATAGAGAGCCTGGGGAGGAGAGGGGCTCATTTAGCTGGTAAGTGAAATCCAGTGGGACTCTAAGTCATTCAGCAAATCTTCATCAAGAAAGAATAGCAAGGCCGGGCGCGGTGGCTCAAGCCTGTAATCCCAGCACTTTGGGAGGCCGAGGCGGGTGGATCACAAGGTCGAGAGATCGAGACCAACCTGGTCAACATGGTGAAACCCCGTCTCTATTAAAAATACAAAAAATTAGCTGGGCATGGTGGCGCGTGCCTATAATCCCAGCTACTCAGGAGGCTGAGGCAGGAGAATTGCCTGAACCCAGGAGGCGGAGGTTGCGGTGAGCCGAGATCGCGCCATTGCACTCCAGCCTGGGTAACAAGAGCGAAACTCCGTCTCAAAAAAAAAAAAAAAAAAAAAAAAAAAGAAAGAAAGAATAGCAAGTAATTCATGTTTAGTTTAAGGGGATATATGTGCGGTGGGAAAGGGGAAGGGTATGAGTAACAGAGATGAGGTTGGAAAGACAAGTTGGTAGCAATAGATTCTTGTAGGAGTTTGGACATTATCCTAAGTGCAATATGAAACCATGGTGGGGTTTCAAGTGAGCAATGATGATTACATTTGCATTTTAGAAAAATATGTCTGCAATATGAAAGACAAAGTGAAGGAAGAAACAGAGGCAGGAGACATTTGGAAGGAGGAAGAGGAAGGCAAAAATAAAGTAACTGATTCCAGGCCTGTGCCTAGGGTGTGAAATACCTTGAGCCTGGTGCTGGCTGGGGGTTTCACTGGTGGAGGTGGCGGTGCACAGGGGAGATGGTGTTGAGAGTGGGTTCAAGTGCACAAACTCTAGACCTAGTCCTGGGTTCAAAACCTGTTTATGCCTTTTTTTTAGCTATGAGACCTTGGCTTCTTCTGAAACTCATTTTAGTTAAGGGGGTTTTGGGGGTGGGGGGCTCAGCCCAGAGACCACAACTTAGTATGTGTTTTCTTCCTGCTTCCCATCCAGGGCTCCTCCTTACTCCTGGGGATTCCAGGGATCTGGCAGAGAAAGAAGCGCAGATTCACCAGCAATGGCTCCTGAACATCCTTTGCAAATACTACTTAGGACAGATGGACTGAAGTAGGCCCTGGGGAGAGTTGGGGGCATTTCCGGAAGCCACACAAGCCAAATCTCTAGGAGATTTGGATGTTAGTGCAGGATAGCTCAGAGCCAAGTTGGGGATAAGTCTTTGGGAGCCAGTTACAGAGGGCTCTTCTCTAAAGAACAAGTGTAGACCTATAGGGGCCAGAACCTGTGGCAACCCTGGGAGGGGTCTGCAGATTGAGGAGGGAACATCCCAAAGCCCAGCAGAGGGGGAGAGGGAGCTTTTATTGGTCACCCGGAACCACTACCAATTTATGTTTATGTCAAATTAAGTGATCACTTTGAAGTTTTTCAGCCTACCAAAATCATGCGAATTTGGTCTCCAAAATCAGACGAAGGCCTGCTTATAGTTAAGAATTCTCAGGGGGAGGCCAGGCGTGGTGGCTAACACCTGTAATCCCAGCACTTTGGGAGGCTGAGGCAGGCGGATCATGAGGTCAAGAGTTCGAGATCAGCTTGGCCAACATGGTGAAACCCCATTTCTACAAAAAATATGAAAATTAGCCAGGCATGGTGGTAGGCACCTGTAGTCCTGGCTACTTGGGAGGCTGAAGCAGGAGAATCACTTGAACCCCGGAAGTGGAGGTTACAGAGAGCCGAGATTCTGCCACTGCACTCTAGCCTGGGTGACAGAATAAGATTCCATTTCAAAAAATAAAAAAGAAAAGAATTCTCAGGGGAAGACTGTTCCCCCTTCTTAGCACCAAAGTTGGATGCAGGCAGTTTTTTTTGTAGTCCCCTGGTTTGAGGGAGAGAGGTTAGGTCAGACAGGGGCAGGTTTCTTTCTAATTCACCCTCACAGTGTTGACATACACTGGCCTTTGAGGTCCTGGCCTGATGGAGAAGTTTGTAAATAGTCTCCCCATGGTGAGGGGGCCCTGGGCTTTGTCTTCTTTCTCATAAGCTCAGGGACCCCTTGAAAACCAATGATCGATCAGGTTCCGTAGGTTCAGCAACTGCCTTCAAGATGAAAGGCAATGATAGAGCTTTGCTCACCATTGTAGCTCCCAGCTTTCATTTAGTTCTTTGGCCTCAATGTGTTTCTTATGTTTTTGCCAGTTTAGGGATGCACTTAATTTTAAAGATAGATAGATAGAGTCTAGTATTTAAAGTTGTTTTCAGCAGGAAGTTTAGCCCAAGACCTTAGGCTACCACGTTGCAAGAAAACCTAATGGGCAGTTTTCGGTTCTCATACAACTTGACTTTGTGCTGCATCTGGCCCTGTTGGCCACTCCCTCCAGTTCTTCTGCTTTGTCTTGTTTTTCCCAACACTCTGACCACTCCTTTTTGGTTTCCTGCACTGGCCTGTCCCTCTTCCTCCACCTGTTCCTTAAATGTTGGTTCTCCTTAGTCTCTGCTTCTTGTCTTATGCCTCATTATCTCACCACTCCCCTGGCTTCAAGCTATGGCTCCTTAGATTTCTCCAGCCCAGACTGTCCTGAGTTTCAAACCCACATATTCAGCTACTCCCTTGCCCTCTGAAGTTGCCGCAGGCCCCTGAAGTTGAACACATACAAAACGGAATTCACATTTTCCCCACATCTTACCCCTATCACATGCTAAAATGCTACATCCCCTGTGCTCCTTACCACTACTCCAAGCCAGACACCTGGAAACCATCTCTCATCAAGCCTTCACATCTCTTATTGTGCCTCACATCTCTCCTGTCCTTGCACATTGCTTCTGCCCTAACTCAAGGTACCTGTGTTTGTTGCATGAACAGCTCTAATGATGGCAGCTCTAGCTGGCTCCCACCTTGCCTCTTCCATCCGTACTCGACACAGTAGCCAGTGATCCATCTGAAACACATCTCTAACCAAGCCCACTTAAAACCCTTCAGTGGGCCGGGTGTGGTGGCTCACACCTGTAATTCCAGCACTTTGGGAGACCGAGGCGGGCAGATCATGAGGTCAGGAGTTCAAGAACAGCCTAACAAACATGGTGAAAACCGATCTCTACTAAAAATAAAATAAAAAAAAAGCTAGGCGTGGTGGCACACATCTGTAATCCCAGCTACTCAGGAGGCTGAGGCAGGAGAATCACTTGAACCCGGCAGGTGGAGGTTGCAGTGAGCCAAGATCACACCACTGTACTTCAGCCTGGGTGAAAGAGCAAGACTCTGTCTCAAAAAAAAAAAAAAAAGAAAGAAAGAAAGAAAAGAAACCCTCAGTGGCTCCTTTCAGAGCAAAGGCCAAGCTCCTCAGTATAACATTCAAAGCCCTTTGTGATCTCTTCAGCCTTTTGTCTTGATGAAGACCCTCCCCAAGTCTACCTGAAATTGCTGGCAATCCTGGGAACACACCAGGCTGTTTCATACTTTCCCTGTCATTGTTCATGCTACTTCCTCTGTTGAGAAGGCTCTGTGTCATTCTGGATGCAATCAAGAGAGAGACACCACACAGTCAGCACACAGGGGAAGTTTAATAGAAGAATTGTGAAATGTAACAGGGAATTGAAGCCATGATGAACTAGCTAGTAAGAAGTGAAAAAACATCTGAAGAATATAGGAGTAGCAGAGTCTTCAGGCTGAGACGGAGAGCCCAAGGAAGTGGCCCTCACCTCGGCATTCCTGTCCAGGGCTGAGAACCACACCATGCAGGACAGGACATGGTCACAATGAATTCCTGAGCTCTAGTCATCCACCCTTCTCAGCCTTCCAAAGTGCTGGGATTATAGGCGTAAGCCACCATGCCCAGCCAAATTTTTGATATAAGTGTGTCCCAATTATTGCATTGGACATACTGGAAACGAGTATTTAGGCCAGGCATGGTGACTCACACCTGTAATCTGAGCACTTTGGGAGGCCAAGGCGGGAGGATTGCTTCAGCTCAGGAGTTCATGACCAGCCTGAGTAACATGGCAAGACTCTATCTCTACCAAAAAAATTTAAAAATTAGCCAGCCATGGTAGCATGCACCTGTGGTCTTAGCTGGTTGGGAGGCTGAGTTGGTAGGATCGCTTGACCCCAGGAAGTGGAGGTTGCATTGAACCAAGATCGCACCACTGCACTCCAGCCCGAGGGACAGAGCAAGACCCTATCTCAAAAAAAAGTTTATTTATTTATCTGAAATCCGAATTTAACTGGATGCCTTTTACTTTTATTTGCTATCCTACTTCTGTTTCCACCTCCAAGTATAGTTTCCTTGATGGCAAAACATGTTTCTCACTGGTCTCTGAATTCCTGAAACTAGCTCAATGCATGATAGTTCGTGCTCAGTTACTGTCAAGAGGATGAAACTTCTCTGGATGCAGGACTGAGAATGATTAGAGGGAATTGTGACTGGAGTCAATGAGACCAGGTAGGAGGATGAGCAATATACCATCCAAAAAACTGGCCGGATGCAGTGGCTCACGCCTGTAATCCCAGCACTTTGGGAGGCCAAGGTGGGCGGATCACAAGGTCAAGAGATCAAGACCATCAACATGGCCAACATGGTGAAACCCCGTCTCTACCAAAAATACAAAACTTAGCTGAGCATGATGGTGTGCACCTGTAATCCCAGCTACTTGGGAGGCTGAGGCAGGAGAATCGTTTGAACCCACGAGGCAGGGGTTTTAGTGAGCCAAGATGGAACCACTGCACTCCAGCTTGGCAACAGAGTGAGACTGTCTAAAAAAAAAAAAAAAAAAAAAAATCTGAAGACTTCAGCAGAATGGCTGTGGGGATAGGGAAAAGGGATGAATCTGCAGGATGCAAGGATTTGATGACCAATGCTTAAGGGACATAACAGCACTTAAGGAGTCCAGGAGGTTGCCCGAGGTTCTGGCTGTGTCTGGATGAGGTTGGTCTATTCACTGAGCAGGGAACACTGGGGAGAGTGTGGAAGCTGGACAGCGGGGAAGCTCATTGATGTGAGGAGCAGAGCAGGCTGAAGAGTGGAGTGGATGTGAAGGAGCAAACAGAAGACACCCAGTACACAGATGTTAAGCTTGAGGTCTCCAAGGATATAGAGATAGAGGTACTGGAATTACAGACTCGGGACTCAGGTGAATGTTCTAAGCTGGGGACAAAATGTGAGCATGGTCAGCATGGAGGTGGTAACTGAAGCCATGGGAGTAGACAGTGCTGCTCAGGGAGAGAGTAGAATGGGAAGAGGAGAGAGAGCTGATACCACAGCTCTGAGGAACATGAGAGGCAGAGAGAGGAAAAGGAGCTCAAAAATCACCTGATAACAAGCCTCTGGAGGAGTGGAAGGAAAACGGAGAGGGTGGGATCATGACTCAAAGAAAGACAGGTTTTCAAGGAGCACTGACACTGTCAAATGCTTCTGAGAATCCAAAGGAATAAATGGCCTTTAACTTCAATAGTGACCAGAGTCACCTGTGGCCCCAGGAGCTGCAGTGAGCCACCTGGTGACAGGTTGTAGCCACTATGTGGTAAACAGAGGTGCGGCTCTGCAGCCCGTTTGCTTTGGGGTAAACAACCTTTTCTTGCTTGCTTCTTGCTTTTTCTTCCTCCTTCCATCCTTCCTTCTTTCCTTCTCTCTCTCTTCTTTCCTTCCTTCTTTCTTTTCTCTCTGTCTCTTTCTTTCTTTCTCAGAGTCTCGCCCTTGTTGTCCAGGCTGAAGTGCAGTGGCATGATCATGCCTCACCACAACCTCAGCCTCCCTGGTTCAACCAATTCTCCTGCCTCAGCCTCCTGAGTGCTGGGATTACAGGCATGTGCCACCACGCCTGGCTAATTTGGGATTTTTAGTAGAGATAGAGTTTCTCCACGTTGGTAAGGCTAGGCTCAAACTCCCAACCTCAGGGGATCCGCTGCCTTGGCCTCCCAAAGTGCTGGGATTACAGGTGTGAGCCACCACACCCAGCCTTCTCTCTCTTTCTTCCCTCCTTCCTTCCTCCCCTCCCCTCCCCTCCCTCCCTCCCTCCCTCCCTCCCTCTCTTTCTTCCTTTTGATTTGGGTTGTCCTGAGTTGCAAACCGAGGCTAGTTCATCTGGGAATGTGTTCTTGGGGCTGTTGCTGTTTTGCCCAGGACTCTGAGATGTTGAGCACAAGCTGTCTGGGGCCCAGAATGCAGCCTCCAGCTGGATGGGCTCTATTCCCTCAAAAACTGGCAACCTGGGAAGTGTCGGCAGCCAGCACCTTTGGCTTGGGCTGTGTCCCTTTCACTGTGAGCATTGTCAGAGATGGCTTCAGTCGGTCTCCTTTACCTGATTCTGAGAGCAGCCATATCTACTGAGTAGCAGGGTTTGGGGACTAGGCGAGGCTTTAAAGTCTCGCCAGCAGGGGGCTGCCTGGCCCCAATAACCCTGGAATTGACATATAACATGTCCTTGCTGCAGGCAGCTCTCTGTAAACTGTATGGCCCTGGGGCCATTCTCTTTGCAGGAGGGAAGGTGGAACTAAGGATCCTGAATCCATTTGGAGGCAGAGAGGGGCCAACAGGGTGTCTGAAGGGAGCAAACGCATCGAAGTTTTGGGAGCACCTCGAAGTGGGGCAGTGAATGCAGAAGAGTGGGAGCATACACACGTTTCTCCTCCTCGACCCAGAATGAGACAGCCTTCAGAGAGCTCTTGCTAGCTCCTCACTCTAGCCTGGGTGAAGGGGGCACCTGTGCCAAAGCAGGCAGGCACACAGGCAGATTGGAAGGAATTTCTGTCTGCAGTGTTACATGCCTGAGGGATCCCGCCCTCAACCCTCTCCGTCTCTCATGGTGCTCTCATCCACCCCCTGCTGCAGCTCCTGCCTCTGTGCTGACAGCTCTGTCAGTCCAGCCCAGACCTCCCCTGGCAGTTCCAGACCAGCTGATCCCACTGCCTCCTGACAGCCACTCTGGATGTCCCACCATTCCTCAGACTTGGCACGCTTTCCAAATCCACACCCCCATCTCATTTCCAAGGAAGAACAATCAGAGAGGCTTCCCCAGTACAAATGCATAGGACGTGGGAAACAAGGTTTCAAAGGATATCCCAGAAAAGCTCAAGGATAGCACTGGCCTTTTGGAGGTGGCTTGGGGTGGTGTGGGAGGCAGGGTCAGCACTAACTTTTCCTTTCTCCCCTACGATGGTGTGGACTTTTTAGCTTCCTGTCCTTTTCATACCATTTGCCAAATTGAATTTAAATAATTATCACTGTAATTGCTTATTTTTTGTCTGTCTTTCCCAGTTTAAGCTTCTCAAGGGCAGGGATCTGTCCATTTTGCTTCTGTATCCTTGGCATCTGTCATATAATCAGTATCAGACATATAACAGGTGCTTAATAAATATTTGTTTGAATTAATGAATATCCTTGTTCATCACCCAAGATGCAGATCCTTCTGGGGCCCTTATCCTTTCCTGTTCCCTTGTCCCTATGGAGCTCCGTGCTTCATTCACCTTAACTGGGACCCAACCGCACCCTCTCCCAACCCACAGCTTTTTTCAGATGCTCTCATGCCCTGGGCTGCTCCATGGAATGTGGGTAGTGAGTTAACCAAGCTGGACTGTCTGCAAGCAGAGGCATGCGAGGTACCTTCAAGACAGTTCCCTGGATGGTAAGACACTGATCAATGACAGTGGGGTGGGGCAATGAGTGCTTCTCTGTGTCTTTACGAACTAAGCAGGGGCCTCAAAGATGCCAGCTGCTGGGTGGGGGCTGGAGATCCAGGCCAGGTCTGTGATTGCTGAGTCAGCCTGAAGTGTGTAAGTGCAATCAGCAAGGCATGATCTCCCTCTAGCCTCTTCTTCCCAGCTCCCCACTGCCCAGGAAAGGATCTGACAAGCCACAGAAGTAAATAAATAACTTAGAAATAATAAATAGGGGGCCAGCTCCCACTAGTGCATACAGGCCGGCTCCAGCACAGGCACTTTCAGCCAACCGACGGCAATGTCGCCTTCAAATGCTGTCCCCACAGGGCCTGGGTGGGAGCTGATGCCGCAGCCACTGTAGGGTTCATCAGAGGAGGGGTCCCAGGTTCGAGGCTTGGCCAGTGCCAGAGTCTGTGAGAAGTGGGTCGGAAGGTCTTCATAGCTGAGGTCTCTGGTGTCTTTTAGGCTGGGATCCGCAGGGTGAGGGTCCTGGGGCTTCTAGCCAGTTGTCCCTCCACCTCTCCAGGGATGCTGTCCATCACTCACCGGCAGGGGCCTCTCAGCTCTGAGGCCTCTGTCCCTGGCTGAGGCCGCTGGCTCTGCGGGTCCCAGGCAGGAAGAGCCACCGATAAGGGTCCAGTCTGCAAAGCCCTGGAGAGAGCACTCAGCCCAGGCAACCGCAGGCGGTGGCCGAGAGGCGGTCCACGGTTCTCCAGGTGCTGTTGACGTCCATGAAGGAGACCGATTCGTAGCGCGTGGGTCGGCAGCAGGGCTGGCTGACAGGCCGGGAGCCCGGGGGCGGTCGCAGGGCCCCGGCGCCCAGGAGGCTGGCCAGGCTGAGGTCATGCGGAGAGCGCGCGCGGCGGCAGGAGCCGCTGCAGAAGCGGAAACGCACCAGCTCGTCGGAGCGGTGGCCCAGGCCGAGCGCGCGCACCGGCACCAGCTGCGAGCGCAGGCGGCAGCCCCGCGCCCCCGCTGCCGGTGCGCGGCTGCCCCGGCCCCCAGCCCTTGCCGCGCGGCCGCCGCGGGGAGGAGCAGATGGTGGCGCGGGCGGAGGAGGCGCTGGCCGAGAAGGCTGCGGCGGCGGCCGCCGGGCTCTTCCACTGCACCAGCGGGCTGTGCGTCCCCCTGAAACGAGACTCAGTCACGTGCGGTGTCCCGGGCCAGCCCCGCCCCGCCCCCTCGCCCTCTCACCTACCCGGCAGGTGGCCGGCGGGGGGCGCCAGGACCGGCGCGGGGCCTTCGCGAGGGGCAGGGCTGCGGGGCGCGGGGCCGCGGGGCGCGGGGCCCAGGGAGGCCTCTGCGACGCTGCTCAGCAGAGCCAGAGCGGCCAGGGTTGGCCACAGGGCAGGCTGCGCGGAGAGACCAAGTGGAGCCTCAGGGAGAAAGAGAGCGCCCAGGTGGGCTTGGGGAGGGGGGACCTCAGGGAGGGGTTGTCCTCGGGCTGAGATCAGGCCGGGGATGGGCTCCTAGCTGTGTAGAGGGGAGCTCAGGAAGGGCCTAGGTTCCGGTACAATGGGTTTGCTAGCTCGGGGACGAGGTGGGGGGAAGGAATCACCTGCGTGCCCCGACCATTCAGAGAAGTCCCGCTCCTCCTGCCATTCACTTGGTCCCTCCCTGACCATTTCCCCGCCCAAGCCAAGCCCCATTCTCCCTCGCCAGTCGAGCCGCCTCTCTTCAGTACCAGCTGGGAGTCATTGGGAGAACCACTCACCTGCCACCTAGGCCAGGGGCAGTGGGACAGTGCAGAGAGGCCTCCGAGTCCAAGTTCCATCTCTATCAACACCAGGAGCGCCCATCAGCCTTTGTGGAGCTGTTCCCCCACCCTCCTCTTGAGGCAGCTTGCAAATTAAGAGATGAGTTATCTTTTAGGGGACCATCCTGCCACCCCAGTTTCTCCAGGTGAGGAGCAAGGGGCCTGGACAACTAGACTCAACGCAGCAGAAGTAGCTGCGCTGGGAACCTTACTATGTGTTAGGTGCTTTGCAGCTATTCTTATACAACTCCAAGAGGTAAATGGTTTAATCCCCCTTTTCCAGATGAGCAAACAAGGCTCAAAGAAGCTCAGAGGTTGTCTAAGGTCACAAGGTCACACAGCTGGAGAGGAGAGAGGGGTCCTCTTTTCTCAGAACCTTCCTGCTCTGTGCTGTAGGGCTGGAGGTGCCAGAACTGGCTGGAGGGAGTCATAGCTGGACACAGTTGGTCCGACAGAGAGCCTTCACCCTAGGCTGCCAGGGAGAAAGCTAAGGCCTGGAGAAGGATTAGAGTGCTAGTTGGTCACTCGGAGTTACCTAATGATAGTGAGCCCCAAGCCTCAGCCAGCGCTGTCCACCCAGAGCTGCTTCCCCTTGCTCCTCTGTGAACTGTGTTCTGGACCCAGAGCCACTTGCGTTCTCTCCTCTGACTATAGGTGTCCCTCCATGACCACAGAGCCAGGGGATGGTGGGCGCGAATGGGCCCTCTGACAACATGGGGCCTGGGCCATGGCTTCCTGTGGCCACCAGGGGGCAGAGTCTGCCAAGCCTGCAGATTCCAAGCAGGGTGGGCTTTTCCATACCCTCAGCTACACTCAGGCCTGAGCCAGTCCCAGGAGGGCCAGCCAGGCTTCCATACCAGCCTGGTCTCTGAGAGCTGAGCCACCCTGAAAGCTGGTCTAGGTCTGTCCTCCCAGCCCCCTGTGGGTCTAGCAGCCTAGTCATGCTCCTGGAAGGTTCCCCCTTGAGCCATCGTCTCTGATCCCAGCCAGGCTTCCCAAGCCTCCACTGCTGGCATTTCCAAATACCCTTCTAGGGCCCCAGAGCCTTCCTCAGAAGCCAGCCTTCCTCATTAGCCAGCCTTCTCTTGGTCCCAGCTGCCACCCCCATCCCCATCCCCATCCCCATCCTCAGCACACAGAATGCTTGCACACCTGTGGGACAGACCCCCAGGCCTTCCTGGGGTGGTCCTCCAGGTCCTGGTGTGCACCTCTTGGCTAAGTGGAATCAGGGCCTCTGGGCCAGGCCAGTGACTGTTCTCTGTGATGGCGTGAAAGGCCGGCAGGACAGCCGTAGGCTCCCTTTGCGCTAGGGGGAGCCCCGGAGCAGGTCTCTGGAGGACCGCTCAGGCCCTCCCCGCCTCCCTCCTTGCCATCTGGGGCCAGTTGGTTCTCCAGCCCTTGCCTCCCTCTCCTCAGCCCGCTACTCACCACGGGGTCCTGGACCGTGTTCTTCTAGGCACCTTTCCTGGGATTAGTGCTGGGCTTTCCCCCGAAGCTCAAACGGCTCATGCCCAGGACTGTGCACCTGGCGGTGCCTCTCTTAGCCAAAAGTGTGGCCTTGGCAGCCAGTCTGCGCCCTGTAGCGGCAGCGGGAGCCTCACATTACAGTGGGCCGGCAGGGCCAGCGCAGTCCCAACAAGCGGCAGGAGGGACTGAGGGGCTGGGAGGGGCTGAGAACTGTGCAGAGGGCCCAAGAGAGGGAGGATGCAAGAAGAGTGGAGGGGGGTGGTCCTGTCCACTCCCTCAGCCCAGGAGCGTCCATCCAGGGCTGGGACCCGGGACAGGCAAGTGGGCTGGCTTACCTCGGGTGTGGGGCTCCGGGCCCAGGTGGCAGCGAGGGCTGGGGCCCGAGGGACCTGCTGCTGGCGGAGCCCGCGGGGCTTGTCTGGGGGCCGGGCCCAACTCCATCCCTCTGCAGCCTCCTGCCCGCCGCCGCCGCCGCCGTCCGGTGTCAAATTCCAGCCCCGGCGTAACCAGATCCCGGGGTGGGGCCGGGAGCGCCCCTGCCCAGCCCCACCTTTCGGGGCTCACCTGGCCGCTCCACCCGTCGGATCCAGTCCCCCCTGGCTTGGTTAGGTCCCCCCAGGTTGGGAGGCGGGCAGATGCTGGGAGGGGCCCCTTGGTGTGGAGTAGAGAACTCGGGCGGCGGAGAGGCACGGAAACAGGGAGTTGAGTTTGTAGACACGCAAAGTAGAGAGCTGGGAGGCCGGGCCGAGGGCGGGAGGGAGTGAGGGCGGGGAGCGACGGGAAGGCCCGGGAAGGCCGGTCCCTGTGTGGGGCGGCCGCCGGCTGGTGCGTGCAGATTTGGGGGGCCTGGCTGTCTGCCCTGCAGCAGCCGCTCTCTGCTCCACCGGTTTCTTCTTTTCGCGGCCAGTTCACCTGCCTCATTGGGTTGCTGAGGCTCTGCGCAGAAGCTTTCAGCTCGGGTCTCCCCACAGCTCATCTCCTGTGCTGCCTGGGGCTTGGAGTACGGACACACTTGCAAACACGGGGGTCACTGGGGCACAGCAAGGGCAGTGTTGGTAGAAATGGGTACTGAGGGCTGAAGGCAGGGGTCACAGAGGAGGAACATCTGAGCTGAGGCTTGAGGTAGGGAGCCGGAGGGTAGCATTTCAGATGCCTAATTATGGCAATTTGGCAGGTGGGGTGAGGACTGGGTGAGGAACGCGGATGGAAAGAGCCTAACCCTGGGGACCACGGGAGGGTTTTGAGCAGAATGGTGTGATCACATAGGCATTTTTGTGGATGACTCTGGCTATAGTAAAAAGGATGGGTGAGAGAGAGGTGGAAATAGAGTTGGGAGGCTGCTGCGGAGAGAGGATCAGGTCTGATGCAGGGTGTGAGGGGAACCTGGGGCTGCTTCTGGAACATGCAGTTTTGAAAACTCGCTGGTGTCTGACTGGACAGGGTGAGGAGGTAGGTGGGCCCTATAAACGTGTGCCTTTGGCGGGGTGACTCCGGAGGGGACATTCCGGCTCCTGGGAGGACAGGCAGGGCTCACGAATTCAGGGTTGGACATGCTGAGTTGGAAGGGCCTGTGGATTATCCAAGTGGAAATGTTCTGGACGCAGGTGAATTTGTAGCCTGGAGGAAAGCAGAGGGCAGGGATGAGAGTACTGGGGGCGTATGGACCATCTATACCCTGGCTATGCATTAGAACCACTGGGGACCTGTAAAAACTACCCACATCCGGGCCCCACCCCAGACCTCAGTCAGACTCTCAGGGTGCACGTGTGCGTTTTCAAATGGCACCGGTGATTCTGGTGCACCCCCAGGGCTCAGAGACCATAGAGAACTGCTGCTGCTGCTGGTGTTGGGGCTGCTGCAGGTGTGCCAGAAGCCCTGCGGGACAGGAGGCCAAGGGGGGAGCTGCTTGCTCTGTCACCTCCTACAGCTGGCTGCTCAGCTGAGGCACCTTCCTTGGGGCTTCTTCAGCCAGGGCTACCACTTACAGGCATGTAGCCTATGCCCTGTACAACTCCATGGGGCACCATCCAGACAGGAACATCTGCAGGGTGCTGGCCCTATTTCCAGTAGAATTTGGAGAGCATTTCTAGTTGACCTGTCCCTTAGTCAGGGCCTCCCTGACCCTCCAAGTCCAAGAGGCTTCTGCCTAAGGCCAGCCACAGTGGGAGGGCAGCCCAGGGCTGCCTGGACTCTTGGGTTGGGGTGGGCAGGAGAGAGGTGCAGAGGCCGGCCACCCCACTTACTGCCTGCTGCAGCCGTAATGTCTGACAGGAAGCTCACTTCACACTGTCAAGTGCAGGTGACAGTCTGTCCATTCTCAGGCCTGCCTGGGGATGCTACGGAAGGAAGGGATCAGACTCTAGGACTCTTAAGAAGGTGAGGTGGGGGGGGGGTGACATCTTTTCTAAAGTATGACAGAGGATGCCTCTGTTCTAACGATGGGGCCTGGGGCATGTTCTTCCCAGAGGGCTGGGAGCGTTGGGAATAGGGTAGATCTGCGGGCCTCTGCCTGCTGCAGGGGCTCGGCAGTACATCTTTCCTTTGCCTGCAGGAATAACTGTCATTGCAGAGGTGGGGTTGTGGCAATCCTGAGGCAATGTCCTAGGGCTGCAAGCTCCAGTCCTATGCCTCTGCATCCTCTAAAAGTGTGCCCTGAAACCTCTGGTCTCAAAGAAAGAGGATCCTGGACTACATGGGACAGGAGATGCTCCAGAGACCTCTGGGTGGCTATCTAGGCCCTGCATTAAGACACAAGTAAAGGGGACCCAGGACTCTGTGGGCTAGAGAGAGGGCAGGGTTTGGTGTAGTTGCTGAGGCTTTAGATTCCTGTTTCTTTCAAGAAAGTCAGAGAAGGCAAAAAGAGACCAGGGAAGAGCTTTATTGCTTCCACGAGGGTGGCCTGGGACGGCTGCCGCAGCCTGGGTAAGGTCCTTTGGCCTCACTTCCCTCTGGTCCAGGCTAAAGGCAGAACCCAACGACCTGGCAGTCTCATCGCTGAAACCTAGAACATGTGGCAATTTGGTGAGTCCAGGCCTGGGGTAGTCCTATGTATCAGCTGCAGCGGTGGAGGGGAGCTCTTCCCAGCAGGCCGAGCCGGGCGTCACCCTCCTGAGCTTTAAAGCTCTTTCTGCTGTAGCCCTGGGGTGGTCTTGTTGGCTCCGAAGGGATGGCTCCAGGGTTTCCCTATGGGACAGCTAGGGCTGGTGAGTGGGAATACCCCATCTTCTCCCCAAGAAAGGCCAAACAGTGTCATGAGCTGGAGGGCGCTGGCTTGAGATCCTGCCCACCACTCTGCAGCCCCAGAGGAGGGTACAGGCTCAGGCTGGTCGTGGCACTCCTGCCCCACAGGGAGCTCACTGGTACCAGTGCCTGATGGGCCCTCTAGTGGGCCTCTTCCTGCATGGCAAGTGGATCCAACTTGACATCTCCAACCTTGTTTAAAAATAAATTATCCCCACCCTCCCCCATTCCCAAATTCACAAAATGATAATACACCAAACACTGATTGGAGAAGTGATTCCGGCAGCAGTCTTGCTGCCCAGTGTCCCACCGCCTGCATGCTAGGCCTGCTGGGCACAGCCGGTAGCCTGCTGGCCCTCTGGCGTCAAGGACTCAGGCTGATGAGGCTGCGCGCTGGTCTCTGAGGCTGGCTGCTGAGCAGGCATAGCTCTGGCTGCTCCACCGAGGCCTCGCTGCCCCTGGGGCCCTTGGCACTGTCCTTCTCTGGGTCTGAAGACTCCTGATTAGGTGGCGCTGGCTGCTGCTTGCTCCTGGTGGTGGTTGGGCCTCTATGGCCATGTGCTGGGCCCACTCAGATGCCACTGCTTAGATCAGTGATGACATGAGCTTTCACCAGCTTCCGCAGAAACTCTTTCTCTCGCTGGATATTGTGCGTCCAGGACTGGAAGGAAAGAGATGAAGTGATCAGTCGGGCCTTTGCTGAAACCTTTGTTTAGTGCCCCTTCCAGGTCTTGGTGCCCTTTTCCAGTCATGGCTCTCCAATTACTCTGTGACTGTGGAAATCTGAAGGCAGATACTGGGAATCAGTTGCGCCTACAAGGTAATGACCCTGCTCTAGGACTGCTACAGCTCATCCTCCTCCCTTCCCGTGACGTGGGGAAAAGAACCTTCATAGCCCTTTCCTCGTCCCAGGAAAACCGCTAAGCTTCCCAACCTCCCTCCTCAGCATGAGCGGAAGGACCTTGTTCCCACAGACTTCAAGCCACTTCTTGTCAGGAAGCACCAGGTTATAGATACCCTGCGGGCAGGCAATGTGAGTCACTCTAGTCCAAAAGCAATAGCTGGCTGAGTCACTCCCTGGCCTGATGCAATCTACTCTCCAGGCCTGGGGGCAGCGGATGAAGCCCTGCCTCCCAGATCACAGGAGCCATGGGGCCTGCGGAGAAATGGCTTTTTTAAAAATTTAAAAATATTTTTTAAATTGAAATAATGATTGTATGTATTTTTGGGGTAGAATGTGATGTTCTGATAGATATATACATTGTGGAATAATTAAATCAAGCTAACCTCACCTACTTACCAATTTTTTATGGTGAGCACATTTGACTACATCTAACAATAATGTCCTGTATTTCAAAATTACTAGAAGAGGCTTCTGGGGAAGACTATACCCAGGATGGGGTCCTTTACTAACCCCAGGACTCTCAACAGAAAACTTGGATGAAAAAGGCTTGATTGAATGAAGGGATGAATGACATCGGCCTTATCAGAGTTTGTCCCCGAGTGGCCTCTCTGTTGTGTTTGTCAGCAATGAGCTTCACCATAACTGATTTTTTTTTTTTTTTGAGACAGAGTTTCGCTCTTGCTGCTCAGGCTGGAGTGAAGTGGCGTGATCTCAGCTCACTGCAACCTCTGCCTCCCGAGTTGAAGTGATTCTCCTGCCTCAGCCTCCCAAGTGGCTGGGATTACAAGCATGCGCCACCACGCCTGGCTAATTTTATATTTTTAGTAAGAGACAGGGTTTCACCATGTTGGCCAGGCTGGTCTCCAACTCCTGACCCTCAGGTGATCCACCCGCCTCAGCCTCCCAGAGTGTTGGGATTACCTGCATGAGCCACCATGCCCAGCCCACCGTAACTGTTCACGGCCACTATTTACCGGTGCTGAGAAGTGAGCTGGGTGCAGTGGCCTGTGCCTGTAGTCCCAGCTACTTGGGAGGCTGAGGCGGGAGGATCACTTGAACTTAGTCCACCTGGGCAACATATCCAGACCCCATCTTCTGAAAAATAACAAATAAATGAATTTTTTTTAAAAAAAACGTATGGCTCTGTCTAGCCCTTATTCTGAGCCAGTCAACCCTCTCCACCTTCCAGATCTTTTACATCTGAAACTCAGGTGGTCATCAGCCACACTCCCGACATTCCTCTTCTCTGAGCATTCCCTTCGACCTCTGTGCTAACCACAAACCCAGCCACCTTGAAGGACAGTGTCCCCAGACTCCCTCTCAAGTGGTGCCTGTTTCTTCCCTCACATTCCACACTCTACAGCCTCTCAAGGCGGGAAGGGTTTCCTCACACCCCATTGTCCCTCCGGACTCCCTAAAGCTCTCCAGCCCCTTCAAGGCTCCTGTCATTCTACTCTGCCATCTGTACGTGCCTGTCCTCATTGCGGATCCTTGGACAACTCATCCCCATTCTCTGAAGATGTAAGCATCTGCCTCACTGTCTCTCTTGGAAAGAGTAGGGGCTGTTAGGCACAGAGTAGGTGCCTCGATTTGTTGAATGAAATTAGGTTTTATAGATGAGAAAACAGAGGCTTGGAGGAATGACAGGGCCAGGGTTTGAGTGGACATGGAAACTCGTTAGCCTCTTTTCTTATCCCTCATTCTCATCACTCCTCTGGAGAAGTGGTAACCAATTTGATGGGTCAGGGTCAACAGTACCCCCTG